TTTTGCGACCGTTTACTCTGCAAGATTTACTGTAAAAATATTTTTGCTGACCGCCATTATTTTCTTCCTGAACTGTACAATACCAATAGATTCAATTGGAATAGTGGCAATACCACTTAGATCGTATTTTTCTGATTTATCTATTTGTGCACCCACACGTTTAACAATATCTTCTGTTACAATTGCCATTTCAGCATCACTATCGAGTAGCATTGCCGGAATTTTTTGGCGCTTAATCTTACATTTTATAGTTGCAAGGCTTGTAGCGGGTTCTTCTTTTTTTCTGAACAAAGCTATCTCCATAGGATCGTCCAAAGTCTCATTCTTGAGGTGTAATAAACAAATAAAGAACGCAAAACTCCAAAGTCTCATTCTCTCCATCTGAATCAGGTATTGCTGGGATCGGATCTCGGCGATTCGTGAAATCCGGAATGGATAAGTATTTATCTTCGAATTTAAGTCTTTCTATCTGATGCGGAAGTAAAACCTTTTCGAGCATGTCCTCTGTTTAAGAGTAGTTGATTTATTGGAAGTAGATGCGTCTTTTTTCATTTTGCATGATTTGGACTTCTTAGAAGATTGGAAGGTGACCTATTTTTTGAACTACACTGCCCTACCATAAATCACCGGATTTCTTTTTTTTTTTTACTAGTAAAACCTATGAAAAGTCTTTTTTTTTTCAAAAATCTCTCCTGCCCATGTGTACTATGTGAATGACAATGGCTTTTGTATGGTTTTGAAGCTAATTAATTGTGCTTTTTGAAAAAATCAACAGTAAATTATATATATTCTTGTTATAAAACTGTAGAATCAAGGAAGTAAGAGTATATGTACTCCACATATATAATCATGTATTTTTATACCATAATTTAAAGACTGCCACTTCACAAAGCTATAGCTTTACAATGATAATATATATAATTTACCATTAACTTTTTTCGAAAAGCACAATTAATTGGCTTCAAAGCCATAAAAAACTGTTGTCATTCACATAGTACACATGGGCAGGAGAGATTTTTGAAAAAAAAAAAAGACTTTGGCTCTAGAATCAGATTCCTTTCTGACATCTTTAATTTTTCATAGGTTTTACTAGTAAAAAAATATGAAATCCGGTGATTTATGGTGGGGCAGTGTATTCTTTACTTTTTTTTTAAAATGCGTGATATTGACATTGATATCAGCTTCAGATTCAAATGAGGTTTCCTCAGAATCAGAGTTATTATCTGAAGAATCATTATCTGAAGAGTCTATCTGAACTAGAGCCGGAATCCACAGCAACCTTATTGACCTTACCTCTTTTCTTGTATCTACTTTTCTTTTTTTGAGGACAGTTGCGAGAATTATGTCCGGTCCTATTGCAATTTGAGCATCTGTATTGGGATGTTTGCTTAACCTCCTTCTTGACCTGTCTAGATATAGCCTTATTTATTGACAACTTACTCTAAGTCGACTTCAGCATTTTTTGACATATTCCTTTCATTTTAGGCAAGAAGGAAGAAAATTTATCAACTACTCCTTTAGTAATTGTATCTATTGTTACGGTCGGGAATTAAATTGGGGAGCGATTTATCTTTTCGTGTAGGTGTGTTCGCCGACCGGGGGATGTTACCAGGCTTATCTCGTACTATCGCCCTTACTACGATAGTTGTGCAATTAAGACTGAATTAAGCCTCAAGTGACCTATTTAACAATTTCAGCATGACAACATGAAGATTTGACGATGGAGGAAGAGCCACTTTGCTGTATTACTGAACTACGATCATCGCCATGGGTTTGTTTGACTGCGGAGGAAGATTTTATCATGTGACCTACTTATCCGTAACAATATTTTTGTGTTACTCACTCATTTATTGGAGGGCACTGTACATGTTTTAATAAATTTCTTCCTCAAAACCCAATTTGTAAGTCAATTATTTAAGCATGTGAATGAATTTCAAAAAAATAAATAAATTCTATTATAAGCATATTGGTTTTTGCGCCGGACCATATATTTTTTTAATTTCTGATTGTAACTACTAATACATTGATGTGTTTTTTGGTATTTCTTGTACTAGTACATGTATTTTTAGGCCTACAAATATGAACCTCAAGACTGAGAATAGGACAGTGTAGAAGGCGCAATCATTTCACACAGTGTAACTGCTTTATTTCATGAAGTGTCAATAACAGCATGTTGTGCATGCAATAAAACTCTTTATGATGACGGTTGAGCAGAAAAGCAACTAAAGACTCACTGATACAAAAGCACTAAAATTATATATAGGATTACCTGTATATGAATAATAATAATGAAAAAGCAATGCGTTTCTTGGAGATTATGGTTGTTCAAAAACGATACCAAGAGAGAAGTTTGCCAAATTACATGAAGTCTTTCAAGCTCTCTCTAGATCCAAACAAGATATATTTTTAATGGCCCAGTTGAAAGCAATAAATGGTGGAGAAATAACGGCTAGCCGACGTCTTAAAAAGAAAACGCGTACTAATAAGAGAATTGAGATTGTCATACGCCTCTTTGCCAGAAAACATGTTAGGAATTGGTCGCACTCATTTGGAAAACGTCAGAAATCATCTAGCAACGAATGGTATAATACCGCGCGCATTCACGGTGATATCAAACGAGTGCCGCGATGGAAAACATTGATATAACCGTTGCTACAACCGTGAAGAATTTTCTCGAAAACTAGGCTGAAATTCATGGACTACCAAGTCCTGGTAGAAACGTCAGAATCGAATTACTCAATCGCTTACACTTTTGTCAGCTGAAACAAGTCTTGAAAACGATAGCACGTTGAAATTGTTAAAATATGACGCGTTCCGCAAGTTTGGCACCAATTAACGCCTTATATTCAAATTACGAGTCCAAGAACAGATTTATGTAACACGTGCTAACATTTTCGGAATGGCTTACAGTATAATGCGCGCAAGAAAAAAGAAGCAAAAGATTTACTAAAAAAGTACAAAGAACATTTAGTTAAGGCTAAGTTGGAGAGAAATTATTACAACAAAAATACGAAAATTAGCAGAACAACAGAGAAAATTGGTAAATGAGCATTTTATAACAGAAGATAAGCTGATTATTGTGGCGTTGATGCTACTGCTCATTACAGTCACGATTGAGCACAAAATGTTCACGTTCCCCATTCCGATCAACAAGTAAGTAAAATTTATTATCTTAGTCAACGTAAAGTGCATTTATTTGGTATTCAAGATGAAGCAGTGCGCGAACAAATTAATTATGTTCTCGATAAAGCCGAAATTATCGGCAAAGGTCCTATTGGTACGCTGAGCATGGTATTCGATAGAATAAAGAAATTGAATAAAGGCGAAAAGCATTTGAAGATTACTTGTGATAATGCAGGTGGACAGAATAAAAATAATGCTACCATTTGATTTTACCTATTATGAAAGTATCGGATTAAATTTTATGGTACCTGGTCATACCAAATTCAAGTGCGGTAGATTGCGTGGGTCATATTGTTGAAATTGTGAAAAAATCGAGTACAACTGGATTAAACAAAGCCCAGCGTTATGACAACGGAAAAGGTTTTCAATACTTAGTATTAGATTTTAACTCTGTGTTTAAAAAATTGAGTGGTTTGCAAAAATATCAGCATTTTGTATTTGAAGCAGCTCAACCTGGAGTTGTCAAAGCCCAGCTGGTTGCTAATGGTGCTTATACAGAATTCAATTTATTAAAAACCAGAAAAGCAAATGTTGCTGAAATTACCAAAGAAATTAAATCCTTTTCCATCCTAGTACTAACCCCATTAGATTACAAAAGGCAAGAATATCTTTATCATAACATTCGCCCGCTTATTAGAGATGAATCAAAGAATGTAACCCTCAACCAGCTTCACTACCGCTGAAAGTTTCTGGTCGTATCTTAATGAAGGTTTCAGTGATGTTAGTCTACCAGTCGTCATTAGTGACCCCAAGAGCTATGATTTATAATGTCAAGTAAGAATTTATTCAATTAGTTAAGTGTCAGTCACATTTTGGTATAACGATTAAAAAATGCAACCAGTCCATAAATTTGTGCTCACATAGTCAAATGTTCGGTTTTGTTGCAGTCTGCCCTGATATTAATATGCTACCCGGTTACTGTAGCAAAACGCATAAAGTCTAGAAGCTCTCAATATCTCTATTATAGAAAACTGCATCAGATCACTTTCTTTTTATCAAATCCCCATATGGCTCATATCATAATCGTTATGAATATGAATATCTGATCTTTAATCCTCCCTAACATGCTATCAACAAATATCTTTGTTATTATTTCTATCTCAACTTGTCAAATACAAGACTTGTGAGGACGTGTTTTGTTTACTAAATTAGAGGAGCCATCAATAGGTCTTAAGTTACAAGTCTGCAGCAGGGACTTCCCAGACGAAAATACAGTCACCGGACAGAAGTACGTGGTATCGAATCAGCTTGACGATCAATTAGTAAAACATATTAATATGAAAAATCTTTTTCTTCAAAGAGCTTTATTGTACGTATTTGCGTACCAATTTGTACTTTTCAAGAAAATTTAGTCTTCTGAAGTTGCATTTCGAGGAAGTATATACAGCATATGAAAATATATGTGTAACCTAGATACTGCCACGAACTCCACGAACTACACTACATCTTTAAAACGATAATGGGACTGAATATATCATTATTATGTTCAAAAAATACAATCAATTAGCTTCAAACGATACAAAAATTATTGTAACGTACATGGTAGTAGGGGTTTTCGAAGAAAAAGATTTTTCATATGTTTTAATAATTGATCATCAAGCTGATTCGATACTTATTATTATTGTATGTCATATTTAAGTTTGCTTCCTAATTTATCACATATGACAAGCACGCGCTGCCCGCATGGTTACAAAACTGGGGTTTTTTTTCTTGCTTGGAAAATTTGATCAAAGCGTATTTGTTTCTCTACAAAATGCCTCCTACAGTAGCTCTTAATCTTGATCAATATGATGATGAACAAGTTCGGCTGATGGAGGAAATGTGTATTGTTATTGACAGAAACGATAGAAAAATTGGAGCTGATACAAAGAAGAACTGTGAGTCGAACAGGGAAGCCATGTGAATATCGAAAAAGTTTGCCCAGACTTATTCCAAGTTTTTGTAGGTCATTTGATGGAAAATATCAACAAAGGTCTGCTACACCGTGCGTTTTCAGTATTTCTTTTCAACTCTGAAAACAAGCTCCTACTCCAGCAACGTTCTTTGGACAAAATCACATTTCCCGATCTTTGGACGAATTCTTGCTGCTCTCATCCGCTGAATACTGCCCTTGAGTTGGAAGAGACAGAGCAATGGGGTGTTCGTCGTGCTGCACAGAGGAAGTTGCAGCATGAGTTGGGCATCAAACCCGAACAAGTGCCCTTAGAAAAGTTTGTCTTTTTGACAAGAATTCATTACTTGGCTCCGTCTGACGGAACGTGGGGTGAACATGAAGGTATTATTCAATATGCGGTTAACATTAATACGAGACGAACACTAAGTTTATGCTCACGTTTACTGTTTTTGCCTCAACTGTTTGTTTTCGCTGTGTGCTTTAGTCGATTATATCTTAATAATTCGTACCGATGTTGATTTGGAAGTTAACCCTAATGAAGTAAAGGCTGTCCAATATTTCTCATTGGACGAACTTAAAGCGAAATTCAAGAATCCGGGCGGTAAATACCGACTTTGTCCATATTATGCGTATGTAAAGAATAGGCCGTTAACTGATATTTGCGTCTTTGCTTTGATAGATTGGAAGTTCACCCCATGGTTTAAGTTGATTTCTGAAAACTTGCTGTTTACTTGGTGGCAAAACTTGGACAATTTGACTCAATTTAAAGAAGTAGACATGATCCATAAATTAGTATCTTAACTAGATTGACTATTAATACGTTGTGTATTCAAAATCCCGTCAAATACCTTTATTATTAATATTAACCATACACCCTGTCTGATTTCTCAATCACGTCTCCTTCGTAACTAGAGCATCTAATAATATAACAGCTTTGCCCTTTCATTTATACAATCTGCCATATATCTTTTGAAGTGTATTAGTATATAGTCTTCACATGACAAGTTAACCGAGTTTTGTTTCTAGTAATAGTCGGCAACATCTTTCGTAATTTATAATGATAATAATGATGACAACGACAATAATAATAATGGCTTACGCTTCAGTTAATAAAACGTGTTAAACTATACAAGGCATTGGCACTCAAGCTATTACTAACACCTCTCAAAGATTTTATATAAATCAGGAAGGCTAGCAATATGTATCACGTGTCCACTGTCAACAAGTTTCCGTGGTGCCCGAAAATGAAATTTTAAGGCCGGGAAGATCAAATGTTCTATTTGCCATTGATATTTCTCTTTAATAGCGATTATTGGTTCAGCGGTATTGTTATTCGCCTTTCCTTGCTCTGAAGTTGCAACGAAATCTTCGGATTCATCCATTATATCCATGGGTTCAGAATCGTTACCATCTGTGTGATCTTCCTCTTCGTCACTATCTGGTGGTTCGGGAGCATAAAATAAACCAAGTTCACGCGATATAGTTTCTAAACATTCTATTTCTACCTCCCAATTAACCTGTAACGAAAGAATCTTTAGAATTAAATCTTAACTAGTAGATGACAACCGTTATGACTTGTGGAATACCTCTGTGCCTAGTCGTAATAAAAAGCTAGGCAATTTGTCCATTTTTGGGACGTAATTCTTTAACAGTAGAGGAAGTGTCACCAGCTGACCATCTTCAGTGATTGTTATACTGAAGTATTCCAAAAGCATTTCTCTCATGGACACCAATTGTTCGGTGATAATCTATAGACAAGGTTCAAACATATTAACAGTAAATCTCAAAATATATATTCCGTAATCTTTATATACCTTTCTGATCTTATCCTTGGACTTTAGCCCTTCCAGTTCAGATTCATGCTCTTCAAGAGCAATGAGAACCAATTCAGAGATGGATGCAGGATTGGACAACCGAATAAAACCAAAATTGGCGAATTCTTGCAGTATTAACTGATAAAACAACTCTTCGCTAAATAGGTGTGTAAGTAATAATAAGCCTGTGTTGAAGTAAAGAAGGGAAAATAATCTTAAACTTACCTTAAGGCATTATAATTTACAAGATACAACTTAGTTTGATGTTGAATCAAGGCTAAGGTGAGAGAATCATCAACGCATCCTACCATTGTATGATCCGAGAATAATTCCGTGAGACCTGTGATTATTTTATTTTCAATGATTAGTTTGTATCTTGTAGAGTTTACCCCATTTATTTATATTTAATAGCACACCTTTATGTTCTTTGTCTATCAGCTTTTCCCGAAGAGTTAACACACTTGTCAATTTGACCTCAATTCTATCCCGTTTTCGCTTCAAACCTAAAGATGGTTTCTTATCAATTATAACATTTGTTGACTGTTGTGATACCAAGCTGTCCGAGTTGATATTCTGTTGAGTTTTGCCGGATGTTCTCGACGTATCTTGAGGTGTGTAAAAATTGTCAAGCGTACGTGCTCGACTGTCTGTTCTCACTAGGTTATATTCCAAAACTTTCCCATCTACACAATAAATATTTAAATTACATAATGCTTCCAGACGTTGAATGCCAGACCAAAGGTGGTAAAAGACATACGAGACTTTGTGTTCTCTTTTTCAGATACATCGTCATTAAACGTAGATGCTCCTGGTAGAAGCGTCTACAACCAAATTAGTTATTATCAGTTAAATACAGTAATAATAGCTTAATGCTCTACCTGTGTCAAGAAAGACCTAGATGTATCAGCTCCAGCAAGGCGCTCGTGGATCACATCTCCGATGGCGGCTATAATTTCATCTTCATACAGAAAACGCACCTACATCATTATAATCGTCAATAATGGTTATGCCGCTCGTTGAATAAACGTTCGACTTCCTGCTCACCTCTCGCTTTGTCGTATGCACATTAACATCTATATTTTGCGGTTTCATCTCTAAGCCTATATAGATAAACGGATGTGTGCCCTTAGGAAGAAATGTTGCATAAACGCTCTCAATGGTTTTTTTCAACGCTAGACTTTCAACGGCTCTGTCTAATAGGCAAAATACCAGAGTTAATTATACATTGCGCTCAAATTCGGAGACAGCAGTTAAGTATAGTACTTACGATTGATAAACAGGAGAAATACTATTTTTTTTACATTATAGTTTGCATTAGAGACGTAACCCTTGACCTTTAGATCTAAACCCTCCACATCTTTTTTCAACTCTAACAACTCAGAGGCAGTGCTGCTACCATATATTTGACGTATGTTATCTAAAGTCGACGCGTTAGCTAACGTACTGACATCAGCTATATTAGAACCTTGCTAATATGAGTAATAAATAATATATGTTGTTACATAGCTAAATTGAATGGAAGATAATCAACAAGTTGACTTGCCTTTTTGCATGTAAAGCTAACTCCAGCGTTGTAGATAGCATATCTATTTACTACATCAAGTATTCTTTTATACTCTTCGCTTGTATTCTTCAATGCCTCTCGACGCGTAGGAGCATTGTAGAATAGGTCTTCTGCCTGTATAAAAGCAAATTAATTACGTGTGAAGGCGCTATGAGAAGATAAGTTGGGCACTTCATACCGTAATTAGAGTGCCAGTATTGCCAGCGCATGGCTTGGGTTCAGCGCTGACACCCGGTTTCGGTGGAACCAGTTTGCTATCTGCATAATGCGCTCTGAAAAATCGATAAAGAAAAAGACGACTATCCGCATCAATGGAGTTCAATGGGATAAGAAACTCGATTGATAATACAATGTGCTAACCTGTATGCACAATTGGAATCTGCTGTCTTAGTTGTGATAGTAACATGCGCTACGTGTGTGATACTAGCCAATGCTTCGCCTCTAAATCCATACGTACTAATACAGGACAAGTCTTCAAAGGTTTCAATTTTACTCGTAGTAAATCGTTCACAGACAATAGCCATGTCCTCTTTCTATTTGGATAACAACGCGCGTCCATGACTAATATTATTGATGCAGAACTGTCAAGCTGAGATCTGACACAACACCACTCACCCTTATGCCATGTCCGTTATCTTGTATTTGTAACAGTTTTAAGCCGCCATCTTTAATGAGAATTTGTATGTTTGTGGCTCCTGCGTCTAGCGAATTCTCCAAGAGTTCTTTGAGAGCATTTGAAGGACGGCGTATTATCTAGCATGAATACATAACGTTCTGTTAACAAAGGCTGTAGGATAGTATATTCGCACAAATGGGTTATGATATAACCTCGCCAGCTGCTATTCTGTTGATAACCGCTTCGTCGAGTTTCTTGATTTGACGTGAAGTTGTCATGTTGACAAGGAAGATTACGCGATAATTTGTGGAAAGATCGACGTTTAACATTTTCCCCAAATGGTGTCCAAATCAAATTCTCTTACGACGATATCATGATATTTTCAAACAAGTATAACTAACACGACCCATTAAATTATAGTGATTAACAAATGTTATAACACTTTCGACTGTAAATTTGCTTAGTACAAACTTATCTTTCGTGTAATATCCAATAATATTAAATCTCTCAAACAATTCAACTAACCCTGCTTCCTCCAATCTTCTGTTGAAAGTTGATTATTCTCTTATTGTTGGTCCCTTCCTTTAACATCTCACATGATTCAATTTACCGTCCTCATGCCATTTCACTATAATTCAATGCGACATCTTTTTCTAATTACTTTATTGCATCTTTTCTCTCTCCAACCCAAATTGTCAAATCCTCCTCTTGTTTCGATCTTATTATTTCTTCCCAATCCATACACATTATTATAGAATACGCGTTTGGTTACATAAGAATAATGATTCCAAACGCATCAATCATATTGCACAGAATTTTCTTAAAGAGAATTGTCTCAGAAGTAATTGACTGGCCATCAAACAGTCCAGACCTCAGTATGTATAGTCTATTGTTCAACATAATCTAGAAAGACGTCCTAAAATATTGGCAGCTTATTCAACGTAAGGAAAACAGAATTAACTATTGTAGGTTTCCTAATATTCTTATCTAATCTGACAATAAACTTTTCCTTCGGATTACGTATATTTACTCTCTTGCTGAAAAAGTTTCTATGTTGCACACGTTTAGACTTGATACTGTATACTCCCAATTATCCTTTCCGAATAATTGATATACTGTATTTATACAATAATTAATAGAAGTTTTTACAGCCTATTTATCGCCTTGTGAATTTAATCGTCCTGCAGAAGTGAGCGGTCTTAATTTCCCGTATGTAAAGTCTTTTTTTACAATGCAACCAGTCTTAAGATAGAGCTTTTAATTTCAAACCATTTATAGAAGGCCAGCATACTACAGTACCTATAGCATTAATAATTTGGTTCAGATTTTAATTGAATAATAACTCAGAATGTAATTCTTTCTAAATTTTAAATATAAAACACGTCCAATAACTTTGTTTGTAACAGCGAATAAAAAGGTTTTTATTTTATACAACTAATTAGATAAATTGTTCACTTTTATTCAGTTATCTGATATTACGTTTGTATTCCTTATTCTTTTTTTAGTTAAAATTCTGATCGCAAAGAAAAAAATGATGCTTGATTACTCACTTACTAAACTTTTAGTGAGAATAAACTTACTGTATTAAACCTTCTTTTCACAAGAAGAATGACGAAAGGCGATCGTGTTTTAATTACAACAATTGTCGCGAGGAACTTTTATATTTTAATACACAAAGATAATAATAAGGACAAATCATTATAAATAAAGTGTGTGATGCTAAATAAATATCATAACGGTTTGCTTTAAAAAAGCTACTAATTCTTTATTATCAGGTGAAAATAGATAATTTTCCAGGCATAATTCTCATCACATATTATGCCATGCCATGTATTAGTATGTCCAAGCAAATGGCTACCATTGAGAGTAGTATTTACAATGGGTACCAAAAAGTTGTGAATTTTCGTGTAATTAATAGTAACAGTAATAGTAAAGCATATGAAAACAAACCTTTTTCGAAAATTGTATTTACAATATACAATGTGTAACGAAAATAATTGCCTTCGGACAATCGAAATTATTTTGTAAATAAACAAAGCGATGCGTTGTTTATTATGATCCACATATTTTTATCAGCTTGTTTATGTTTTGTTGAAGATGTTTACCAAAGAAAAGGTTTTGTTGACTTCTGCTTTAATTTTTGAGAACTTTATAAACTATGTTACACAAGTATGAAGGTTGAAATTCACAACGTTTTACTTTACTTTCAGATTATACCCCAACAACGTTTATTCGTCAAATAAAATTACATCCAAAAATGAGTGTTTATCTTTGTTCCATTGTAAACAATCTCAAAAAGCCAAAAGATACAAACGTTTTAGAGCATGACAGGAAAACTTCTGTTTGATCAAAAGTTTTATATGTAACATACCAAAGAATAAACCATGGGAATAGTATATTTTTGTCTATCTTCCTTTTTTATAAAAAGCTCTGTGACTTTTAATGTAAATACAACAATAAATTTTTTTGAAAAAGGTTTGTTTTCATATGCTTTACTATTGATCACACAAAATTCACAACTTTTTGATCCCCCCAATACAAATGAGACATTTTAGTCATGCTGTTATATGCGGTCGCCTAGGAGAGCCTTGTATTCAATTATTGACCGGGGAATATTCTCAACACACGGCCTTGCTGACGTGCCCACTTGCTGTAAGTATAACGTCTGCGTATATATTCTATATCGCCAAAATATACAGTATATTTACTACTCTGTTGCTAACCTATATTAATACAATATTAAACTAACTACCAAAAATAGCCATTCCTTTTTGAGTGATTTAATCTTAATCCTGTCTGAAATTAAAGAAAACGACTCTTTCAGCGATAGACCAGCTGCTAGCAACTTACGAATTAAGGAGAAAAACTATACAGAACAATAACGAATATACTTCCTTAGTCGAAGGAATATATCAACATTACTTCAATTTGTTGATTGAAAACGTTTCCGAATTTTCCTTTTTTTTGGGAAAAACCACCCCTGACTGAGTTGTCAGCCGCTCTTTGAACGAGTAATTTAATTATGTGTATATGTAGCCGATAAATCCCATATTTTACTACTTGATTGTAGTCTTTTATTTAATATAGACCATTATTATTATATAAATTCTGTTACTACAGCTATACTCTCACAAAGCTTTGCTGCACGTACATTACTGGTTCTTGGATTGGATATTGTGATACAAAGACATATTTAAACAAGCATATCTATAATGCTTTTGTTTAAGTAATATCTGCTAACGCGTATATAATCAAATTAAATAACCCATTAGACAGGTACTGAGTTAAACCCAATAGAATTTTATAGAGCACTGTTAAAAGAACCGTGGAAAGGCATGCCAACAAATTTTACTACAATTGATGGAATGATGTTTAAAATTATGTTCTAATTAGTATAGTACAATGGTATGAGAGCTGTTAGTAGAAAAAAAATAATAGTGAACTATTCCCCATCAAATTTTATACAAATAAAAGCTTTACTTTAAGGTTTCTAACAAGCTAGAATATGTGGAATTCCATTCAGTTATTATGACGCAATGATCGGTTTAAAATTTTCACTTTTTTTGTGACACACTGTGAACAAGTCTTTTTAGAACCATCTCTTGACCCCCAGGATAATCCAATTCATTGCATCGCTTTTTTACTTTTTCAAATTGCGCACGAATGACTGCACTTCATCAATTTAAAGTTATGCTTCAAACATTGAAAAACTGTGCTTAAACTGCCGCGCGGTTTACGCATGTGCAGGGAAACCGTACATCATCCATACATAGCATGCAGGCATACGCGTACACCGTGCTGATAAAATTTGTGCAACGAATGTATGTATATTAAAAGTAGACACTAAACAGAACAGATACAAATGGTTGCTTTTATTACATAAAAAAATTCTCCCTTTTTCGCACTGTAGAGAAAAATTAGTATATTTTATGTTGAAATGAGCACAATTATATTATTCCTGTCAAAATTCAAAAAAAAAACTTTAGACTGTAGCATATTTTGATTCTTTTTAAGCCTTGCTGTTTAATTTATTCGTAACTTTATAGTTGGACCTGAAAGATATTAGTTCAATTACTCCATTTCTGTGTCATGGTTGACGGGAGTTTTGTCATCCCGGTCTCTCGATTATTCAATTTGGCTTAAGGCCAATTTTTTTCCCTCAAGTTTAATATTTAAAATTTCTCCACAAGTCGGTCTACCATGCATAACTGACTTGTCGAGTTTGCTCATTCTTTCGCCGTTAAAACATTCCAAATGTAACTTTTCTGTTATATCGTTTACCAATCTTGCGCCATCTTACTGTCTATGATTAAATTTATTATGCGGAGCCATTAATTTGAGATTATTGTAGATAAATGCTCTATTTATATTTCTCGTTTGATACAAGCTATCAAGTTTATTATAGAAAATAGGGTTATGTTTGTTGCTAAATGAATAAAATCTATTCGGACAATTATCATGAATATTACGTGTTTATTTATTATCTACGCAATTGGAGTTAATCTCTTCGGGATTAAAAAAATCGCCGCAAAAGGCAATAAATATAAACGGTCCAATCAACTAGCGTTTATTGTTGGCAAAATTGGAGTTAAGGAATTAGAAGCTCGGACGTCCTGGCATGGTGTAGACTTGTCAAGCTTTATCAAGTTTCAATCACAAATGTAACTATCACCAAGTTCGTTAATGAACGAATTTTGCGATTACAGATGGCTTCTTCTATATAAAAGGTGCATGTTGTATTGTACCTCTTTGCATACTATGTGACCATTATCGCGCTATAGTACATATCTTGATTTATTATCCATATTGACGTCGCGTTGTCGTTGTTGTTGTTGCTGTTGTTGCTGTTGCTGTTGCTATTGTTGCTGCTGTTGTTGCTGTTGTTGTTGCTGTTGTTGCTGCTGTTGTTGCTGTTGTTGCTGCTGTTGTTGCTGTTGCTGTTGCTGTTGTTGCTGTTGCTGTTGTTGCTGTTGCTGCTGTTGTTGCTGCTGTTGTTGTTGTCACATTTTAAGATTGCTGTGCATGTGACATACATAGTATTATCATAAATTCAGAATATTCTAGTGCATAGGACAGGAAAGCTGTTCAAGAGTGCCAACATGCATGTCGTAATGAATGTGTTATCTCTTATACATTTGTATTTATACATGTTTGTATACAGAGTTGCTTTTGATCAACGTCCATTTGCGATTGTTGCAGTCTTGTGCTATCACGCGGCAGCAAGGATGATCAATGATAGACCATATTAATATAATGCGAGCAAATCTCTACGACTATGCCATAAAAACATCTAAAATTATCCTATCAGTGATCGTAACCTCTGGCCAGTTAAATGCAGCCGTCTGAAGAGAGGTGACCATGTGGTTGGACAGACGGCCCTTATCTTATCTTTCGGAACAATGTTTGTACTCGTGATGATTGATGGGAAATTAGCAAGATAAGTATGATATGCCTAAATAGAACATATTCGATAAAAGAGTAAACGTGATCATAATAATGCAAAGATTATACCGAATTACATCATATCTTGAAATTTGATAGAAAACTTTCGGGAACATGCGATACAATATATTAATGTAGTATAATATTATTCGTACAAAGTAATAAGCTTATCTAGTCTTATCTTTGGTTGTGTATGGCAAGCTATTTACTAATTACTAATTACCGGTGTTGTATAGAAATCTGTGTACGACTGATAAGAAGGTACGTCGCATGACCTTCATATTCACAGTCACATTTAGTAATTAGTATTGTTGACGAAGAGAAGCAGTGAATGAATAGTTGTCTGGTGATTCCGAGTTGAGAAATTGCCCTTTACAAAACCAAGCAGACAATGGCCAAGAGCGTATCAATGTCTCGCTATTACTATAGGAAGGTTATATGTGCCCTGTACTATGTATGTAATGTATTTATTTATATTGATTCCTGTGCTCCTTATTTATTTACTATTTATTTATTTACGGTCTATCACTTAGACTCACCTGGTTGTCTGCATCAAACAAATTCGGCATTGCTGAACAATAACAAAACAGAAAACTCTCCGAACATATTACATGCCTTTTGTAGATCAGCATTCGACCTACCACACAAGGGGCTAGAACTTACTTACTGTACGCTATATATGTTAGAAGGTATTAATAGATATTATCATGGACATATAAACGTTAGCCACGGCCAATCGTATTGGACAATGTGCGCTTCTCAGGCCAAGTTATTTTACCCAAATCTATAACACACCAATATTTGATAAGGCCCTTTTACGCAATCAGGGGGTTTGCATCTGTTGTTTACCAATGTCACTTGACATACGATACGATTATCAGCTATTCATTGATATTTACTCTCCGCCATGTGGAATGGTTTGTTTATCAATCATTTGTTTACCATGTCGATATAAAGTAAATATGTCTGTATACTGAACAAACACAATGTAAAAGAAGAAAAGACAGTATTTATAAGTATTTGGTTGACATTACATTATAAAGACTCTCACTGTCATGTTGATTTCTTTCTCAATTTCCAAAGGGACTTTCTTGCATCCAGCCCCCCCATCATAGACGCCCATTGGTAATGAACCTCGGGTTCATTTACACAAGAACCCCAAAAGGTTTCAGACGAGTCCCTAAATTTTCGGAAAAAAGATACGATCGACTAATATAGGATAATTTTGACAACTCAGCCAAGGCCAAAAATAGCATCATGCATAACCCACCCCATGAATGCTCAATCATTGTACAAAATATTTGCAAAAAAAAAAAAAAAAAAGAAGAAAAAAAAAGAGGAAAAAAAAAGGAAAAAAAAAAAAGAGAATATGGGGGAGTGAAAAAAAAAAAGAGACGAATTACGTATAATAATATCACTAAAGAGTCTTATCAAGCAGGGGGCAGAACATAAACTCAGATATAGATGAGATGCAGTAAAGATAAATGCAAGAAAGATAAACGCAAGGGGTTACATACAATTAATATGCTGCTTACTATATAAAGATAAAATTGACACCTGAACACATATATAATAATAATGATGATAATCTTATTGTAATATGTATTGTGCGCCATTCATTTGTTTAAATTGTCATCATTGCTATATCACATGATATGCGAAGTGGCGTTCGAGAGAGCAATAAACGTCCAAGCACAGAAAGTTAATGCATGCAAGAACAAGAGCATAAATACAATATTATCTCTTTTCCGGTCGTAATGAAGTCAAACATATCCGGCAATTCTCGTGGTCCCGAGTTCCGAAACGCAAGCATTCATCTCATCGGATGAACGTTCGTGTCACAATCACAGCGCAAGTTGACGGATAAAGTTTGTCATGATTAACGTGAAGAAAGATGGCTTTGCGTGAACATTCTTCTTAAGGAATTTTCAATTATATTGTATCTTACAATGCTTGAAGCATGTGCCTACAATGGATGATTACTAGAGCAAGATTGAGCGGATATTTGTTAACAGAATTAGGCAAGTAATTTGAGAATAGTCCAACATAGCTTATTGGTAAATGGCTGCGACTATTTTATGTCCTCAGTTTAGGCAACCGGCAACAATATTGTCGTACGTTTACGACAAACCGCACTATCATCCGGATGATGTTGACAACAACAAAATTGGATTGTATCTCCAAATTAAAAATATGACTGCACTTGTATTTTTTGGGGGAGGGGATTCAATATTCAAAAAACATCTATGGTCTGGCCGGCCTGATTTACCGAAAGATCTAGATGTGTTTGCATGCAGGTACAGTCCAAATGTGGATTTAAGGGGCGCTTGAGTAAACCCTGTTTATCCCTCCCGCAGGTAAATTTTGATCATAAATGCTTAATTCATGTCTTCGAAAATGAACGACCGATAGTTTTAGTAGAAAAAAAGAGCAATGGGGACCACGGATTATAACCTATAAATAAACTTTTGAGACTATAATGATGATTATGAATTAAACTTTCTCGATCGGAAATAGTCGGTTTTCTAATGTCAACAAAAACTCTATAGCAGATAAACAGTTTAAGCATGTTTTATGCCAACATTAATACTTGAAACATACGGTTTCTGCACCCGCTGTTCTTGATACCAAAAGACAGCCATGATTGGTTCTTTTGACTTTATTCTTTAACACATTTCTCTCTTTTTTAATTAATCCATGACGCACTACATAATTACTCGTGTGCTACTTATTCAACGCGGGATCGACGTTGCATTTTAATTTCTGCAAAAAGCTTCCGAGTTGATTGATAAGACGTTTATGGAAGGAATAAGAATAAAACACTATTGGTTATAGATGTGAGGAGTAAGAGGAAACAAATTTTGTGTAGAAAGAAAAACACCATGGAAACAATAAGTGTATGAAACCATAAATTAAAATTGATATATTCCCAACAACAAAACTGTGTGTTTCATATCGGATAATGTTAATTGAAATTTGGCTTGATCGCCATAGGTTTGATTTGTCTGTTAATGGTGTTAAAATTACAGCGAAAGGCTGCTGCGTAGAGTTAATGAAAGCACGCCAAGCAAATACGGTACATTCTGTAATTGGTGAAATTATAATACCCGAATAGAGTCAATAAGAGAAATTTGGAGGAAACGAGTAAACGAGTAAATAGGCAGCGACAAATGAAACAGTAATTTGAGTATAGAGTTTGATGATATCCAATAGCTGCTCTTTGTGTCTCCACAATTCTGAGGGTCAAGATAACCGTTCTGTTTAGTAATAGCTTCTTTTCTCAATTCGGAATAAAATAATTGTTTACATCCGATTAGATTGTTTTGCGGTTCGTAACTCAGACTATCGTTCTTCATGGACCCCCGCTCATCGGAACTTTTAATCGGGAAAAAAAAGGGGGTAGGTCTAAGTTTATATCATTAATAATGGTAATTAATATAGAGATTTGACCAAAAAATCCCGCTATTCACGAGGGGGGGATATCCGTAATTTCTTCACTGCTCCTCGTTGCTTGCGGGAACTTTGCCCGACTATACCCGACCCTATATTAACATGATTATCATCCACCGTCATTTGTTACAAACGAGTTTAATTTCTTGTTCAATAATAAATCAATTACGAATGATTGGTTAGAACAGAAAGTTGCCTTCCATGATGAATGATGCCAAGGTCATGATGAATTTGAAATCACGCTGAAGCAAGGACGAGCGATGTTATGCACTTGTCGTATCTCGGAATATGTTCTAGCTTGGCATTGTGAGATCGTAATATATAAAAGAACAAAAGCAATATGTGTCATTGGTATACAAGATTAATTAAGTATACCATCGTGCATTTGGGGTGCATAGAGGTTTGGGGTATACAGGCATTGCCCACTTTTGTTTTGGGACTCCCTATTGATGTTCTCTCTTGTGTGTAATGTGTAATTGTTATTAGTGACACCTATGCTGAACGCCCCTAATGTTCATCGGGCAAATCATCAAGTATCCGAAGAATTAATAATTCCTGTTATGTTCAAGGTGGGAGGTCGGTCGAAATTTAAGCTGGTTGATTCGATTGCTAGGACCCTACTCGATTTGTCGTCAAGTGAGCACCCTTTCTGCTACACTTACCCCAATTTTTTGTTATACTCTAGTACTACACTTTTGCGTTCGAGAATATCATTTTCAATTATAATCTGGTTCCGCGTGGTATATGGGTATTATAAAATGAGAAATAAAGTACCAATCTACTGAATGTGAACACTGTAGAGACTGGTGAAGCAAATGTATATATTAAACGGTATAGCATGTCGCGTGATCAAAACCAAGAATATGATGCATATGCATTACTATTTATGGATTTTTGTTTATTGATCAATGGGTAGAGGATACGAGAATAGCCATTAACCTGATTCCTAGCGCAGCCTTTGAAGTATGTGTTTAATTACTATTATATTGACAATCATTACTCTATTCATTTGTCGCGTATTCAGAAAAGCAATTAATCTCGAACACAGATTATTGTCAAAAAGACAAATCCAGTAATGATTTTTGATGGAAGTGTCAGTTAGAAAAAAAGAATACTGTTCAACAATTGTCGATGTAGCTCAATGCTAAGTAAAGTAAATTATAAATTTAGCACAATCAAAAATTACAAGGGGATCTTGGCTTTATCCATAGATAGTTATACACAGGGAATACCCGACTAATTAATGTGATATGCTTGCGTATCACATAATTAATATCTACAATTGATTGGCTTATCCAGCTGGACTTGCTAATCTCCACTTCTTTAATAATCTTTAATAACCATTAATTTAATTTATGATCCTACTCATGTTCTCTTGCCAATTCTTGCTTACATGAAAGTTGCCATATTCCAATAAACACATTGGAATAAAGGCGTTTGTTTATTTGGTATCCAAGTTATACAAGAAAGCTACTTTATATTTGGCATTAAATCTGTTTTTTGAGAACAGAGAGGTTCGTTACTATAAATGGTAATAGGCCATCGATGATTGATATGACAAGAGAATACAAAAATTAAGAGCTACAAAGTTAAAATAACACAAGTCAATGAATAGAATTCGATTTGTTAATGCGGATATAAGACGGAGCACCGCACAAATTAGTAACCAAAAACGAGGTATCAGTATGAACGGGTTGCGGTTGGATTTTCCTACAAATAATTATTCTCGTATTTAATTTTTTGGATTCTCATATCAAATATGCGTCTCCAATAGTCGAACGCGCACATCTCACCTCAATCATAGAATATTAGCTAGGTAGTTAAATTACTCCATTTGGAAAAACTTTACACCTGCGACGCTGAAACCATTGTCACATCCAGCAAAATAATAAGACTACAAGATAGCTTACCAAATGATGTGTAAGCGTACAAATTAAGGAGAAAAACGTAGTCGTTTGTTGGTACTCGTTCAACTTGCTTGCTCTCCCCTGTCCTTCATTCCTTCATTCTGCCCACATTCACATGGAACACGAGCTTTACTCTAGTTAAACAGATTTGGAACGTCTGATACAAGCTGTAATAATGGTACTCGCTTGCCTCAGATGATAGGCTATGCCATTATGGTTAATGGGTATGCATTCTAAGATACACGTTAAACAACATATAAACTAAAACAAAGGTTTATAACTTGTAAATTCATTTATCGTAATGTATTAGTAATACTGTCCGCTGCTTTTTCTTCGGAGCTAGCGCAATTGCTCTGAAACAGTGACTGTGTCGCAAAGAAAAATGTCAGAGAACGATGAGTGTTGTTAACATGTATAGCAAGTCCCTATGTTAATTGTAGTTTGGATTGTAACACGATACATACTGGTACGACAAAAGCCGATCGAACTAGGGAGAGCGTCATATTCAATTCATAGTATGCACTTGAAGAATCACTGACAACAAACAAACAAACAAACAAATATCATCCGACAAACAACGACTGTTTATTTGCAAGTAAGCGTAGAGGAGAAAAAGGGGAAAGCCAATGTGGCGGATTGACAAGTACAAACATAAATACTCGGACGAGAATGAATGATACAACACAAATTTACTTGACGGATGCTTGCATGGCGATTGTGGATCAATTATGCCTACCTCACCGTTTCATAGTCAATGTTGAGTAAT